TGACTTTAATCTCAGAATTTTGACTTTTTTCTCAGAATTCTGACTTTTTTCTCAAAATTCTGACTTTAATCTCAGATTTCTGACTTTTTTTCCCATATTAAACTGAAATAAAATGTAAAAATCAGTTAACTTTTTAAATTATTTCAGTGGCCCTAATCTTCTTCTGTAATAACGGCTTCATTCTGCTGGATAAAAGCTTACTTTCCGCTCAAAGTAAAGTCAGGATTAAATGATTGATTCAGATAATAGAACTCACTGGAATGAGGAGAGATTTGCAAAACAAACACAAGAACTTCATTTTCCTGAAGTTTTAAAAAAATGCAATGTATACAACTCTGTGCTAGCAACCATGCTGAGCAGTTTGACATTTTTTTAAATGTTGTGCACGGATTAGAGCGGCACACCAGCTGATCAGCTACAAGCAGGCTGATTATAAAAGGTATTAACCTGTCTGGTTAGGGGGGTGGCGTTGCATGGCGTGCTGCTTAAGGCGGTTAAAGAGCTTAGCTTCAGTATTAATACGGCAGCACTGTTCTATAGAGCATCAATCACACCACTTTAAACCTCATTAATGCTAACTGCTAATATGAATGAACCAATAAGGTGATGGTTCGATCAGAGCGGGACGTCAGACATGATGCTGCTGCTCTGCTGGTTTACACTGATAAAGCAAACAGTAAAAAACGCTGGGACTGAGCTCACCCAGAACCACTCTGCAGTCGATGCCGTCCAGGTTGAGCAGCCAGGTGCTGGCGACCTTCGACCTGTTCTCCATGAACTGCTTCAAGCTCTTCCCATTGATCTCCAACGTGTATTCGTAGGCGAAGCCGCTGACCGCATCGATGTTGATGGTGGCTTTGGTCTCTGATTGGCCCACACTGAAGGTCTCCTTCCCCACGAGTTTAAACATCCAGTTCCGCCTCAGAACCTCCTGAAAAAACAGGATAAATGCGACTCGTGACCTTCGCCATAGATACAGGTCGGTTTATCTGCTGGTTTCCAGCTGCAAGATTGTCTCTTTATCTCTGGTGATGAGATCAAAGTGTTCAAATTTGGATTCCTTGTGAGAAAAGTGAAAACTCCCCCTGGGCTGGTCCAAAACCATTACACTGAAAAAAACTGAAATCTGCATAATTAATTTTAACGGAAAAGGATTAGGGCCACTGAAAAAATAAAAGTTAACTGATTTAAAAAAAATATTATTTCAGTTTAATATGGAAAAAAAAAGTCAGACTTTTGACTTTT